CAAAGTTAATGAAACGCAGAGAGCAAAGGGGGGGGGGAGAGATAATCTGTAGAGTAAATATTAGAAAGAAGGAGCAAGTAAGCACAGAAGTGTTTTTTTGAATGTCGCTACATAATAGGATTAAGAGTACATACCGTCTGCTCTCGGAAGCAAAGAAAGAGAGAGGCGTAAGAAGTAAACCTCTACTGCAAGCAGCGGTAGGGACGCAGAGCAGAGCACAGGCAGATCGAACAAAGTCTCTCAACGTCAAGCGCTGCCGCACTTCAGCAGAGGACCAAAAGCAAAGCAAAAGCAGCGCTGCATCGGAGCCAAGCAGCGCTGCAGCAGAAGCGCAGAGATCTTTCCAACAGATAAGCATCACAAGAGAGAGCACCTCATATGTCACAAGACAGAGAGAGCGGCACAGAGACAAACAGACAGTAGCCATAACAAACGGTAATTGAAAAGACTGCAAAATAGCCAAGGCTTAAGCTCTACAACAAATACAACAACAAGCACAGAAAAGGCACAGAAACAGAAAATCACATAAAACCAAAGCGAGTGAAAGAAGAGAAACATTTCAAAGTCATTTGGAAGTGGCAGGGCAGATGAAGGGCAGTTAGCAGAGCGCAGGGGAGTGGGGAAGAGAGCAATGGTAATGGGCAATGCTCGTAGACGAATAGATGAAAGGCAAAAGAGAGGAGCAAGTGAGAAGTGTTTATTGCAAAACAAAGCAGCAGCAGCAGCAGCTCCCACCGAAGAACAGCAACAGCAAAAACAATGAGTGAAACGGAAGGTGGGGGGGGGGGGGGGGGGGGGGGGGGGGGGGGGGGGGGGACCAACGGTGCAAAATGCATATGCTAAGCAGAGAGCGGGCGAGAGCGAGAGGGAGAGTAGGAGAGTAGTACAAGGATGCCCGTTCAAGGTGTTCAAGTGGCGATACAGAACTCATTGAATGCCTGACCCGTTTGCTTGCACTTTAAATCTACTCGTGTATAACCGTTTCATAATCGATTCCAAAGCGACGAATATTCTATGAAACACGGTTTGTAGCAAGATAATAATTAGTAAGGCATTCAATTAGTATTTAAAATAGCATACAGCGCGCGTTGGTATTTACCGCACCATCGATATACTCGGCGGGAAATACCAATAGTGAGATATCGGATAAGAAACATCGATAATAAAGTAAAATGGCGATCGTGAGAGACAGACGCGCAGCTAATAAAAAGAGTTATATTGTGTTTTTTTATACATAGGCAGTTCACCCACACACCGATATTGGTCACTACAATTCACAGGTTAGACGGCCTCCAGGTTCAATATTAGCTCAAAAGCTGATCGAAAGTTAAACAAAACTCAAACCAAAACTTAAACAAATATTTTTCAGATGTAACCATTGAATTGGTGCAAGAGTCCTGCCATCTCTTTTCATATTAAAGGGTATACATACCCATCAAAATGGAATGCAAAATGAGTTGCAAGAGAACCACAAACAAGATGCAAATATCTTTACTCTGTAGACTTTTCTCCTCTCTCTCTCTCTCTCTCTCTCTCTCTGCCGCACTATGATTGCCTTTTGCCTTCGGGGCCTTTCTTGTTCCTCCCACCATCACCATCCCCATCCCCCTTCATCGTCATGGAAGAAACCCTCTGGACTCGTTAAGTTTTTGACAGGCCAACTAATTTCAGAGTGAAAAGAAGAGAAAAGTGGCCGGCGGACAGGGTTTCTTAGTGGGAAAGCGGAACGCGAAGTGACAGGCAGGACCTCGTCCTTCCCCTCTGGCCACACGACATCTCTGGGCCAATCAATCTTTTGGCCCGGCGTCCAGAGTCGAGTCGAGAGTTGAGTCCTTGGCAGGCAGTTCAAGTCTTTGGCCAAATACCGTTTCCCGCTCCATCTCCATTCATTTGGGCAGTTGCTCTCTCTCTGGGCGACCCTTCTCTGTGCATTCTCCGGCGCTTTCCCTCTTGAAGGGGGTTTTCACTTGGTGGCCTCCTAACGACTATTGCAAATATGTTGCAATTTTCCTCCAGTTTTGGGCTTCTCCCGTCCTGTTGCTTTCCCCACATCTCTCGTCCTTTTCGGTCATTCCTCCCCTTTTTGACAAGGACATGGCAGGTCCTGTGCCTCCGAGGGACCTCCGAAATATGTTGAAACTGCAGGAGGGCCTTCTGCTCCTCCTATTCCGTTCTCTCCACCGCCACCAAAGATTGATCACAGTTGGCCCACAGTTTTTGTAGCCTTTTCGTGCAATATTTATTTCCGGTCCGTCCCGTGGCAACACCCCGCTTCCCGCTTCCCGCTGCATCACTGATAAACCCATTTTCCACTTTTCCATGCCCTTTTCCACGCCTTCCGCTGTCGTTTAATATGAAAAATTGCGCGCAAATATTTGCAAGAGCTTCCGCCGGAGTGGAGGACGCGGAGAGGAGAAGTGCGGAAGGAAGGGAACGAACTGCAGTATGTGTGGTGTCAAAGGGCATGCCCCATGCCCCATGCCCCACCCTCAATGATGCCTGCCTCTCTTCCTCTAATTGTAAGAATTTGTCAGTTCGGTTCCTGGGGTCAGATATTAATCGTTTTGGCCCCAAAAGAAGGACCAGACCCAACTTGTTCCCTTCCGAGAGAGAGAGAGAGAAAGAAATAGATGAAATTGAGAGGGAAAATGTGGACAATGGAGCAGAAATTATGGGGAAGCTGTAAAACTTTCGGATATTTAGAGAGATTGCCTACAGGCATCGAATAGGATGGAATCCTTATACTTGTTGAGAGTAATATTCGAGGATGAATACATGGTAGATATAGGAGATATTTGCAAATATATACAGGTATTTACTTGATTTGTGGATGTGTCTCCCCTCTCCATATGCTATCCATTCTTTTGCAGTTCTCAGAAGGAAAGACATTCCGTATAAGTTCAAATATCACTCAATGAATGAATGGAATTAAGTTAAGATATATGTATATTTAGCAAATTCAAAGCCTTACGGATCTCTCAATTTACTCAGAAATCTCTTTACTTATTGCATTGCTTGCTTCTCATTCGACGGCAAAACCCAATCTCATTACAGGGGGCAGCAATCATTATCCTTGCAGCAGCTGTTCAAAGGACCCTACTTAACGACTGTGCCACATCAAAGGAATCGCAGCCAGAGAGGGGGAGAGACACACAGAGTGAAAGAGATTGGCGGGGGAAACGGAGACTGCTCTAAAGAGGATTAACCAGAGCGAAGTTTACCATTATTTGAATGCACTTAACGCGAAAGGACCCCGGACAACGGTCCGACACAGAAGCCCAACCTCCAATTTTCCATTTTCCATTTTCCAGTTGTTAACTTTGGCTTCATTTGGCTGGTGGTTTAAATACTGTACGCGGTTCCCTTTTTCTCCTTCTCTCCTCCTCTCTGAAATGGGGGGCAAAAACGAGGCAGAGAATCCATAAAAACTAACAGTTATGCCTTCATTTGGTGCTCCTCCAACAACAGGGAAAGTTGGCAAAGAGTGGAGAAAGGGGCGCCAGAGAGGAACTGAGAGAGTAAGCCAAGAGCAGGGGGGGGGAGAGGAGTCGCAAAAACGGCGGCCCAAGCCGAGGCTAAGGCGAAAATCTTTTTAGCAAAACTTTTAATGCTTTTTCTTTGCCATTTTTTTAGTAGCTTCTTCGCCCGCTCTCTCGCTCTCTCTCTCTCGATTTTAAGGCATAACTTGAGACTGGAGAGAGGGATAAAGAGAGCAAAGAGAGGGGGGGGGGGGGGGGGGGGGGCGGCTAAAAAAACGCATAAGAAAAGCGCGTGCACGTGGTAAAGTCCCTGGAAAATTGGCCTCAGAGACCGAGACGACGACCATCATCATCATTTCATTCATGAATGATGGGAATTTTTGAGACCCGTTGCATATGCGACAAGTTTTTCTTTTCTGGATAGGGACGGGGTTGCCAGGGGTGGCAGGGGAAGTGGTAAGAACGGATTGCATCCCCCCCCCCAAAAAAAAAGAAGAAATGAAAATTGAAAATTGCTTGAATTGCATTTCGTTTCGTCTCTCGTTTTGATGGGTTTTTCCTTAAACGAGAGCAAGTGAAGGGAAGAAGGGGGAAGTGGAATGTGGAGAGAGATGTAAGGAGCAAGGGGAAAAGGGGAAAAGGGTGGGGACTGGGTGTATAGAGAAGGTAAAGATGTCAGGCTTCGTTAGACAAACATCTGCTGCTGTTGCTACTGCTGCTCTTTCTCTTGCTCCTTCTCCAAGGACTATTCCCCCCCCCCGTTTCCCTCTGGGAACTCTCCTTCTTCTTCTTGCAACGTATGGGAAATTGTAAGAGTTTCTTTGAGAAACTTCTGCCTCGACCATCATTTACCGGAGGCCCAAAACTGCCATGCAGTTCCATCTTGTGTTATGACAACTCTTTCCTCACTTTCCTCACTTCCCCCTCTTTAATTCTCCTTTCTTAACTTCTTCTTTACTTCTACTTCCACCTCTCGTTAGCCCTTGAAGTGGATTTTCAATTAATTCAATCATTGAGCGCCTGAGACTTTGTCTTGAGTCAAAAGACTTTTCTCACATTTGATTTCCAGTGGAATCCCTCAGAGGAGCATAGAGAAAAGGAGAAGGCGAAGGGAAAGCATCCAGAGAGACATTCTCTGTTTTAATGAGACCCCCAAAAAACTCGTGTAATTTTGGGAAATTTCTCTCAGGTAGAAACAAGGATAAAAAGGGGAAGAGAGAGAGAGAGGGAGACATTTCCTCGAGATTCTCATTTTAATGAGCAACAACTATTCTCATTCTTATTGTCTTCTCTTTCTCCTTCTCTTGCCCCTCCCTCCCGCGACAAAAACTTCTCTAATTGAAATTTGGAATGCGAATGCCGCCGTGGCATCCGCAAACACTGCAAATGACTTTCCAGTTTTGCGGCTTTTCCTATGGTTTTCCTTTGGGGTTTCCCTTCGAGTTTCGGGTTTTCTCTTTTTGTTTTATCTGCTCTAATTTTAACTGTATTTTCCCCAGCGGATTTAAGCTGAAAACTTACATCAAAATAAACTATTTATTCGTTTCGTTTCGTTTTGGTTTATTTCTTCTGCGATGATTTTTGCTGTCACTTAGGGGCTCTGCGAAAGTTCTGAAAAATTGAAAGGAAACGAAAAGTTATTGAAGGATTTTATAGAAGAATAAGCCAAAGAGCTATTAGATCTAGTAGATGCTTTAATTAAGAATAATAAGTAAGTAAATTGATGTCCCAAAGAGCCCCCAAAAATCCACAGAAAACTCTTTTCCAGAAGCCGTATTCCAGAGGCCTCTTAATTACACTTTTTTCTATCTTTCAGTTGTTATATTTTAATGCCAACACCCCCCTCTAACCCTCTCTCTCTCTCTCTCCCTCTCTCTCTGTCTCTCTCTCTCTGTCTAAGACATTTCCCCACACTTCATTCGCTTGATAGTAAACCTCCGGGCAATGGGCAATGGGCAATCCCTTCAACTGCAGATTTGGTCAGCATTCAGAGGAGGACAAAAGGGAGCAACAAATGGCATCTTTGTCATCCCCTTGTCCCGCTCCATTGGCCTCCCGTGTGCCACATGACGTATGCGCAATGTGACAGCCAGCAGTTGGCTAAGGACTTAATTTAAAGCGGCTTTCGTCAACAGAGATTTACCCTCAACGCGCACTCTCTGCCAGCTTCCAGCCTCCGCCTGGTGCAGCTCCAGAGATTGAGGTCTCGAAACAACAACAGAAACGATGATGGTACTTTTGGTACCCATCAAGGAAAAGGACGAACCGTCTATGGCCAAATTTGCAAGCAGTGCATTTATTGAGTTTTCGTTGGAATGTTCTTGAAAAGCAGCTGATGATTCGACATTAGATCGAAATATTGTAAACGTTTCCTACAAAAGGTGTCCTCAAAAGCATTATACCCTGCGCTGCAACAGGCAACAGACTCGTACTTACGAAATAAATTTAAAAACTGCCAAAATCTAAAGGCCTCCAAGCCGTCACTCCCTCAGTCAGTGGGCAGTCCTCCTGATCCTCCTGTCTGCATTTAATTAAAACTCCCAAAAGGACACACAGACAGACAGGCAGGCAGGCCAGAAGGACAGTCCGGACAGCACCGGACATCTGGACAATTAGTGTGAGCCATGAATTATGAGTTTTTGGCTTTTATTTTCGGTTTATTTTTCCCACTTTCCTGTCCTTTTTATGTCTCTTTTTTGTTGGGGTTAAGTAAATTATGGTCAGAGTTTTTGGGGGCTCATAAAATCAGTTTAAACAATAGCCCCAGACAGGGGTCAGAAGGGGGGGCTGCAAAGAGGTTAAGGCCAACAAAATATAGAGCTAACTATTATTACGGCGGACAGGGGAGCAGAGGAGAAACAGAGAAACAGAGACACAGACAGAAATACAGAACTTTTGTGCTTTATTCTCGTTTCCGGTTGCGACTACTGCACCACACACACACACACGCACACACACACACGCAAAAGCAGGATATAAGTAGCATATGGTAAAAAGGACGGAAGGAGGCAGAAGAGCAGCCTGCAAGTCCCTGAGTCTGAGTCTGAGCATATGGATAATGGCAAAACGTGCCGAAAGCCAAAAAGTTCTATGGAACAGAAAGACAATGGCGGTGTCTGTGGCGAAAGACGGCGGGGGCAGTCGAAGGCAGTTGCATCTCCTTTATACTTGTGAGGGGGCGTGGTCGCTCCCTACAGTTGTACAGTCGCTCGTTTATTCTGACTTTCAATTTGAATGCTGTGTTGGGCTCCCGGAGGCGCCCAGTCCGGTCTATGAGAGAAGTTTTGTGGCCATTTGTGTATGTGTGTATGTGGTAGAAATACAAGGTATATTTCATAGGAGTATGACAGTTACAAAAATCATGATTCAGAATACAAAAGGGAACCCAAAAAACAAAGTTCTTTGCAGTTACGCTTTGATCATCTGAATTCTGAATGATTTTAAATCGATATTTCCATCAATAAATCGAATTTTACAAGATTTATCGTTGGTCTTTGGATCGATATTGTGAGAGTGAAATGGGATGGACGATTTACTTTTCCGAACACGTCTTTATTCCACTCATCCGCCATTTTTTAATGAACGAGCGTCGATCTACATACTTTTAATGTGCCCGTATTTTTGGTATTTTTCTAGGGTGGCCGTACATTTATGGATTCTTAACCTAAGCTGGGGATGCCGCATTGGTTGGTATAGGTTGTAATGGGGCTGCCGTACTGAGTGATAGGGGTTATCCTACCACAATAATATTACGGAAAATGAATTAAATTTAGTTTCAATATCGATGAATAGGTAATTTATTAATGATTTCAATACATAATTGATATATCCAATTTTTGTAGCCCAAAGTCCGCTTTCCTTTTAAGGTACGCACTTTACATTGACAGATGGTAATAAAGTCCTTTGCCAAGGGGCATTGCATACAAAACCATAATGCACTTGGATTGTTTACGCAAATATTTGCAGAATTCAAAGGGGCGACGAGAGGAGAGGAAGAGAGAGAGAGAGAAGGGAGTCCGAAGGGAACCCTCTCCCTGTGTTTCCCAAAAACAAGCAAACAGTTTGTTATCCAGTCGTCTCACCCTCTGCTGCTGTTTGTCCATCTTGTTAACCTTCCTCTTGGCCCTAGTTATCCCCTATTCCTGAGATAAAAACCCAACTTAACTTCACTCAAGCGACGACTCCTTTGGCCCCCGAAATCCCTCATAAACAGGCGGGACTCTCTTGCACGGCAGCAATTCCAGTGCATCTCGGAGGACAAGTCGAGAATTGCTTTGGCCCCTGAAAATATTGTGGGTCACTCCTCCTCCCCCTCCTTCTTTGTTTGCTCCCCCCTTTTCGTCATTTTCCTCCTGTGTTTTGTTTTCGTTATATTTATGCACATTTTTCCATTGGTTTTTCATTTTATGTGACAGCAGAGGCAACTATGAAATGGAAAATGCAAAAAGTTTACCATTTGCCATTCGATTCTGCTTTCCCTTCTTCTCTCTCTGGAGATTGTACACTTGACAGGTCGTTGGGGGCCAGGATATACTCGTACTCGTGCTGGTTTGAACAAAGGATAACAGACAGAGTGCAAATTCGACATAAACATATTATCCATTAGCCATTTTCCCCATTTTGTGGGCAATTAATTTAAATTTTTTGTTTTCTTGAGTAAGAATTTTTAAAAGAAATATAAATTTTGTTAAATATTTTCTGTATAACAGTTTCCGTGTACATATAACAGTTTTGGGAGTGTTGAAGATCGAGGGTAGAACAAAAGGTAGGCTATGGAGTATATATAACTGTTTTAAGCACAGTCTCTAACCGTATAACAGTTTGTGCTTCAATTATGATTTTGGAGCATAAATTACGGTCTACCCCACACGTCCTCCTCGTTTCAGATCCCAACAGTTGCAACTTTTATTTAATTTTCCATCTGCAGAAAAACATATTCAAACTTTCCATCAAATCCCCCTCTCTGCCTCCCCCATAAAAGAAGCTTACTTTCCCCAAAGAAAACTCCTGTGAAAAACAAAACGCATTTCCTACTAATACGAATAATTCCATGCCGAGGGTTCCCACTGGACGAGTGTCAAAATCAGGACGAATCACCTCCCTGGAGGGGAAAAAGGGGAAACATGGGGAGGCGATGTCAAGGCAGAGACAACAATGGACAGATGATAGTGGAACGACATCTGTACAACTAACGGAGTGAGTGACAGAGAGAGAGAGAGGGACGGCGAGACAGGGACAGGGAGACTGACGTACAGACAACGTGTTCCATCAGCCCCAAACACAACAAAAGCCAGCAACAATACCTCGTTCAGAGGATGGGGAAGACACACATGTTGATGGGGGGTCCTTTGGGGGGCTAGCCTATCTTTTCTATCAAAAGACTGAATCCGAAAGGCCCCCTCCTTCTGCAGGACGAAAGAAACAAGAAGCTTAGCCTTCTTATGGACATTTTCAGACAAAAAAAAAGCTCTAGAGATGGCAAATATCCTTCAACTGTTTCACGCAGATGTTGGCAGAGTGTTATATGCATTATACAGTGACTAGGAACTAGAAAATGCATCTAGATAGGTGATACACAGCTATGCAGCTAATATTTTGTTGAGTTTTCTCGTGATTTTAGTTTAGTTCATTTCATGATATAAAACTAACTCTTGCTGACTTTTGCCAACTCATCCCAAAAATCTCTCTTTCGCTCCCTTCCTCCTCCTTTGTGGGTTTCCCTATGGGAAGCTGCGATTCAATTAAGTCCTCATCCGGCGTCATTATCCAGTATTTAGCAGATCCCTGCTCGACAACCGCCATTCAACCTTCTCCTCCCTTGTCAGGGCCCCCTTTCCGCGACCCCCAGCCACTCACTTGTCGAACATGATAAATTTTGTGGCGGGGGGGGGGGGAGTAAAGGATTTCGTTGAATGTTATTGCATTTTTAGCACCTCCTTGAACCGGCCCTCTCCACACCACTCCACTCGCCTCCATCCAACCACTAATCCCCTATTCCTTTACACTCCTTCCTTGCCCCTCCCCATCCCCCCGCTTCGCTCGCAGTTTGCGTTAATTTTGCGCCAGCTGTCAAATGTCAAAATGTCAAGTGAAACAAAATTTTCGCATCATGAGAAATGCATGTCGCTGGCGAGAATTTCACAGAAAGTCTACATGGAGCAGAGCAGGGTACAGAGAGGGGGGGCTACGCGACAGTTTCCCCCCCCCGTTTTTGGTGGTGGGGCTACCAACGAAGTGGCTGACTACTGGATGGAATAGTTATCGCGTTACCCCGCCCACCACACTCTGAGCCATCCCTAGTTGCAGTTCCTCATCAAGTGGTGGTTGAGGAGGGGCAGGGGGAGGCTGTGGCAGATGTGGCAGCAGATGGAGCAACGGGACACAGAGCCGGAGCACTAGCACCATCAACATCATGATAATGCCCATTATTAGCAGTGGCAAAGCACATTTGCATGCATTTTAGAATTTGTATATTCCGACCAAGCGGCGGAGGACCCAGAAGAGGACCCAGAAGAGGAGCCACCCGCCTCCAATCGCCATCGCCATCGCCATCGTCCGCCAGTCAGCCACTCATTACACTAGACTGCACAAAAACGGGATCTACTCGTATG